CTCATTAAATCTTTAAAGCTCAGTTTGCTCTATCCCACCACTTGTCTGCAGATGCAGGTTCTTTGAACTGTTAGTGCCTTGTGGTAGTTACCATGTCTGTACATTGTAATTTTAGTATCTTTAGTTCACAGTTCAATGAATGTCTTACACTGATTCGAGCTTTTGGGTCAAATGGCAATATGTAGGTTAAGTGCAATACAGTGATTTTAAGCCACAGGTCCCCTGGGTGTGGGAGGCCCACAGTCACGCAACCTACATCCCACTTAATGTTTTCTGTTAGCTAGGTATCACAAAAGTCTTAAGACAGTAAATGCTGGTTTTGGCTGGGATGGAGTTAATTTTCTTCACCGTAGCTAGTACGGGGCTCTGTTTTGGATTTGTGCTGGAAACAGTGTTGATAATTCAGGGATGTTTTTGTCATTGCTGAGCAGTGCTTACACAGTGCCAAGGCCTTTTCTGCTTCTCGCACCACCCCACCAGCGAGTGGGCTGGGGGGCACAAGAAGCTGAGAGGGGACACAGCTGGGACAGCTGATCCCAACTGACCAAAGGGATATTCCATACCATATGACATCATGCTCAGCATATAAAGCTGGGGGAAGAAGAAGGAAGTAGGGGATGTTTGGAGTGATGGTGTTTGCAGGCCTTTGTATTATTAAGTTTGTCTCCATGCAATTATTTTATCCTCATTCATTTATTTCTGCGTATTTAGGGCAAGAGTTTTAGTTATATACAGAAATTAAGTTCTCTTGGACAAAAAATCCCACATTGTTTCATAGTGCAGACAGACTAGTCCAACTAACGATCGTAAGGCTACCAAAGTTTTATGTTTGGAGTACCACATGCAGGGCAAAACCGCTCAACTCTGATCCATCCTGTTGGTCGTGTGCGAGTTTCTCAAAAAACCACAACCATCCTCCCTCCTTGCAGCAACAATTTTTGAAGCTCCTCAGAGTTCTCTTTTCTGCAGACGTCACTACTAACTCTTGCAGGAATGGTTTGCTTGTGACTTCAGAGCTAAAGCCTAATGGTCAGATCACAGGTATTGTTACTTCTTTTTAGAGCGCTGATCACAGTACATACAATTTTCACTGGGCAACTAATAAGCCTAAGATGACAAGGATACTGCTTTTAAGCACCATCATGCATAAGAGTACAGTTCAGCCTGTTAAAACAAACCTCACCAAGTCATTCTACAAAAGCTGTACACTACATCAAAACTTCAGGTGCATATCCCCTCTCCATGTGTATATATATATATATAGAGAGAGAGAGAATTCTTTCTAAAAAAATGCCTCTTTCGTAGAGTAACTTAGAACTGAAAGCAGAACCACTGATTAGCAAACTTCTGCAGAAAATGAGATGCATCTGAAAGGAGAAGAAAGAGGAATCCTGTGGCTCACTGTATCTGCACAATTTTTTCTCAAACTTCTCCATTTCACATTTCAGATTTCATTTTGTTTTCCTTTACGGTGAAGGACAAGTTTTTCTCATTGCTATTGGTGACCCTTAGGGTAGAGGTAATTCTGTAATAACTGTAGTCATACATAACTGTATCATAAAATAATTATAATAATGAAATAACTGTAATAAATCTGTAATATATTATCCAGCTCATAAAAATATCGATGACTAACAATTTTACATGCAATTTTTTCTTCTATATTCTACATCTTTCCTTTTCCTAAACCACGCTAACTACTAAAGAGGTTATTAGACTTTCTCAAGAGTCCCTGTAGAGTTCTGAGCAGAAATAAGATTGCCATGTCACTTAATGTGTTAGTACCTTCTCACATGGGATTTCATGATCACCTAGGAAATCAATCTCTTAATGTGTTACAATTACTTGTTCATTTTGATAGTGAACGGTGAGATACACGCGGTAAACTGTGGGAGAATAATGGTAAAGCAGTTGTCCGCAGATTATACCTCAACCAAGCAGCAGTTGTGTAACATTCTTTAAAGATCATTACATAAATTATGACCACCTTGCTACTAGCATTTAATTTGCATCAATAAATGAGATATAGGTGAAGTGGTAGAAGTGAAAGTGGTTGTTTTGTTTATAAATAAAATCGGGTAACATTATTTACATGAAGCCTTTAAATGCCTATACAATTCTAACCTTTTGTACTTGGGAATGGTACTGCATTGGCCAAAATGAGAAGTTAGATTACTTACCACCCATAAGCATACTTTGCTTCAAGTTTCTTTATGTTATTGTTCTCCAAATGTGACATTGCGTGGGGACAGGAAGGAGAAACTCCTCAGGTGTGCAAGGGCTTGGACACCTTTAGCCACATGGTGTCATTGCAGTAGAGGGAGGACGGACTAAGTGTAATATGAATAGCTGGTCTTCCACAGCAGTTAATTAGGAAAATGGCTACAGGCTACCTTGAAAAAAGATTCTCTGTAGCTATCATTTATAATGAGGTTACAAGGAAGATACTCTCCTCATTCACTTCCTTACAGCCCTAGTCACAATCTGGATCGGGGCAAAATGTCCATATTTTTAATAATAAATGTCTTGAGCTTTGCTGCTCCACTGGTCTGGAGCTTCATCAGTGTGCGCACCTACTGAAATGCAGTTACAAAACTGCATTTAAATTTCGTGGTTGTATATATATATACACACTGTTGGAAGAAAAGCAAAGTTTGAGATGATAGCCGATGGCCTGAACCTATAGCTTTTCTCCTCCCTGAACTACGGCCAGGGAGAGCATGAGGGAATGACTCACTACAAGTACTCTTCCTAGAGAGGCAGTAGAGGGTGTGAACAAACATGATGTCCAAAACAAATCCAACTCCTGTTGTTTTATTAGCCCAGCCCAGCACACCACCACCACAGGGAGATGGGTGGACAGCAGAGCATGACTGCAGAAGTCTTTCAGAGCAGATGGATTACCGTTAACCACCCTTTGCGAACGGGCCACCTTTTTTGACAGAGGCACCTGGCACCAAAAGATAGTAGCTGGCTGCCTCTGACCCTTTTCCTGCATTCTCTGCAGCTTTAGTGCCCCCTGCGTTTGAAAAATTTTGTAATTGAAAATCCAAACTCTGACACTTCCTGGTCAAGTACCTCCCTTATTTTCCAGTGTTGAAATCTCTGAATCTGCCACCTTGTGGCTTTAGTCCTAGATCGCAGTCAAAATTCTGGGTGTAGAAAAAAGTGAGAAGCTTTGGCATTTGAGGCTGTTAGTGATTCTGAAAGAATCTGACAGTGCACAACATGCACTTATGTTAATACATTCAGAGAGGACAGGCTTCTACATTTTTGCAACTGTTTTGGTAATTTCAGTTGAAGGAACTCCACTGCCTAAACCACCCAAATAAAAATGAAGTGCATTTTCAGCCCTGCAGTAGTATTAGCTGTTTACAGTCATTTGCAAACAGTAACACTGACTATCCAGTTGGACAATCAACCTGACTTAGCAACATGGGTCTTGGAACTGCTTGAGCATCTTTTGGTTCTGTCCACAGAAGATACCAGCCCCGATATGTAATCGCAGGCATTAAGGGTAGCAGCTATTCTGAACAGTGGCAGTAGTTTTGTACCACAAAAGCCCACGTTAATTATCCTAAAGCCAGGAAGTTAACCTTCACTGAGCTTTATACTGCAGTGGCTAGACTAGAGAGTAACCCAACTAGACTGTCTAAAAGGTGTCTCAGCCCTGGAGATCCTGTGAGTAGAAGGCAGGCATGCATTAAGATTCTGAAAAGTCTCTATACAGTATTGGTCCTCCTCATATATATAAAAAAAAATAATCTCATTTTGCGTATTTTTTATTACCCAATCCCTTCTCCCTCCCTCAACCAAACATCCTACAACTCTGAATCTCTCTGATGATTAAGTAACTTGAGTATAAATGAATACTTTTAGAAACGTTGGTAGCATGGGTTATTTGTGTCCTTTTCCGTCTAACAAAATACTGAAATCAGTAAAATTTTAAGCACAGAAAAGATCAAATCTGTTACCATTAAATCATGTAACTATCAGCATGATAAACTTTTGAAATATCTTAACTACTCCTTACATAGGTACATGAATTCCAGTGTTTATCCTATTGCTTTTTCAAAGTAAAGACACTTTTGTTCACGCCAAAAGCCCACTTCTAAGGACAATATTTTCTTTCTGAAACACTGAAGTAGCGTCAGCCAGCATGCGTATCATTTTCTTTAGCAGCTTTCTGAAGGAATAAAGCTTACCAAGTTGCACTGCAACAGCTCCTTGATAGACAAGTTTATTGAAACAATTTTTAAAAGCAGATATTTCTGAATGTACTTCATCAATCCCAACAGTTCAAAAAAACAACTGTTCAGTGTCCAAATAAAGTGTGCATGTCACAAATTGTACATTTTTAATACTCATTTATACCACATGACAGGAGCATAAAATACAGTGATTTCTTATGTTATTCCGTATGCCAATTTATTGCTACAGATCCCCAAAAAAGCAACCTGGACATAGCTCTTAATCCAAGGCTATTAGAGCTGTTCCCCTGCCTTGGGCCCCAAGATCAAGCCACCAGTGTTCCGATGTAAATCACCAGATTTTTCAAGTGTTTTCTTTTTAATTCTCATTTAAATTCAATGATTTTTTTTTTTTTGCAAGACTATTCTTAGACGGTATTTAGTGGGAAGTGTAACATCTGAATATTTACTACAATATAAATACTTCAAATTATAGGATATAAAATTTTCTTCACCTTCATTTTGCTTGACAACTTGAGCCATACCAATCAGAAGAAACAGCTTCCATGTATGAAGTTATAAAAGGAATGAGGATAAAATATTACTCCTACAAAATGAAAGGTGTTTGGGGCTTAGGGAGTGCTGCCATGTAAACTTGTGCAATAATCACAAGTTCTCATTGTACGCCCGTATTAAAAAAATAATTAAGCATTGATCTGCGTTTTCCTTTCTGTTTTGATTCTAAGAACAGTCTGAAGAGTTCCATATTCTGAAGGCAAGTGATTTTTTAGCTGTTCCAATTCGAGTGCAGCACAGCTGCTTTTTAAAGGTCAAGTTCTAGCTGAAAGTGTCTCTACTCTTTAGCTCAAATGATCTTCACATAGTTGAAGGTTTTGCCAGCCCTTTTGACCAATAATATGATCATTTTATTGTCAAAATAAGTATTTTTTAGCAAATGAAAAGCTTATTCCAACAGTACAAGATCTCTATATCCAGTGTGAAAGCAACATGGTGGTATAAATATATGCATACATCGTTTTACACATAATATATTACACACATTCCAGTTAACCATGGAACAATTAACAGGAGTAGATGACTACTAATCATGGGTACAAAGTATTTTTGTAAACAAGATTTTGAGAAACTTTAAGGTAAATCTGATTTCTGGAAAGATGACAATCTTGGGATTCCATTCTTGTTTTCAAAGAAGTAAATTTTTTTTTTTTTTTTTTAAGGATGCTGTATATAAGAATGCACTTTGTATTAAAACAAAGATCAATACTTTACAGTTTAAGAAACTTTACATATGTACATAAATTACACATCAGGAATGGTTTTAAAGCTCAAAATGAGTTGTCAGAAAAGTCTATTTTCCTTCTATTAAAATCTTTAACTCTTTTACATTGTGATCGTTTGCAACTGTCACAGCATGATCCAGTGCTCGGATACTTGCTAGAAGCTTTATGATCTGCTTTATGTGCTCCCTAAAAAAAGAGTAAGGAGAAGTCGATACAGGAATGGAACAACCGTGTACAGGTATTAATATTTCAACAGAAGACTACATTATCAATCCATACAGCAAATCAGATAGCTTCACATCATCATCTCATCCACTTGCTTAGTCTGATAAAATGAGTTGGTTATCAGCTTTGTAGCGAAATGGAAAAATTTATTTTGGGAGTAGGAATTAATCATACAATACGGTTTAATATTAGATGCAATATAATCTCAAGAAAAAGTCTTGGATTACTTCTGGTACTGTGCAATGAGTCACAGCTCTTTTGGTAACTAACGTTTAAGCCAAAAAAAAAAATATCCAGGCAGCAAGTATGCTTCAATGCATGCCGTAAACAGGTACGAAGCTTGCCACCGAGGAACTGCGCTACAATTCAGGTCCATCTAGGAAACTTAAGAGTGAACAAACTGCTAGGGGGACTGTACTACTTTGGCTGTCAAGGACAATTTTGGTACCTTGCTAGGAAGATGGACATGAAAATACTAGAAGTTCAAAATTAATCTTAAAAATTACTCTAGCTGATCTGTGAAAACGCATCCAACATTTGGAAAACTAGCACCAACAGACATTGGTAGAGACACCCTTCCCTCTCAGCAGAAATGAATGCGTTTTGTTTCAAACAACTGTACTAGGTTTTACACGAAAAGACATGACATTCTTCAGTTATAAAAAGCAGTATTTTGCTGCAGACTTCTTTTATCTGCTTAATGGGGGCAATGGCAGCTGGGAAAAAAGCAGGAAGACACAAGATAGAAATTAAATTAGAACTCACTATGATAAAAAGGATTAACTGGATGTTTCTCTTCTAATACAAAGTTTTACCAAGTTATTTCAGCTGGTAAAGAAAGTTCTTTCAAATTTAGAAACAGGCTACAAAAAGAGACAAAGTTCAATCTCTATTGGATTCTCTCTCAACTCCTTCATTTCATTTCCAGTATCACACTAGGCTAGGCATTTTTGTTTTAGAAAGGAAGGAGTAATACGTCTATTTTGAGTTTGAATCACAGGGAAATTTAAATTGGTATGTGACACCACTAGTGTAGTTTGGACATAAAGTTCTGAGGCACAACCTGAGAGCGGATAAAAAGTTGTTTGAGCAAAACCCAGTGTGGCACAAAGCTTGGTGTTCTCTGAAAACAAGATGATTCATATGCCACAGCCAAAAGTGACTCTAAAGACAGAAAAGCATTTTAACCAACATGGCACCAGGAAAAAAAAAAAAAACAAACGGAAAAGAAACCCCAAAACTCTTAATCTTAAGATTTTTCTGCCATGGTTCAAGGGGAGTTTCTGTCTCTATGGTTCAGTGCTGTGCATAAGATCAAAAAGGGAGAAGGATCTAATTGCCCAGAGAGCCTCAATAATTGAAGAGTAACTCATCAATGGCTCAAGCAAGTTCAACTATCAAGAACAGCTAACGCAGGTAAGCAAGGGGGTTCGTCTTTCCAAGTTTCAGGTTTGCTGGAACAACAGAACTATTAACCTTGAAACCACCCCTTCTCATGCAACAGCACAGGAATAAACAATCTTCCAGCCTTGTTACGTTCCTGCATATCAGCCCAACAATTTGGTTTTTAAGTTTATCATTGCTTAAAACAATACACCAAGTTATCTGGCCAGCAGCAATATTTATAGATCTAATCCGAACTTTTAATTATGCTGGTTATCAGATACAAGTAAAATGACTCTTTGATCTAGGGGAAAACAGGTTCATCTAGTTCGTTATGTAAATGAAGTCAGAACTTTTGTACTGCATATAAAAGCACGGTGTGCAATTCAGAAGCCATTATGCAGGAATCGGCAGCAGGCTCACAAGGTGGAACAGTCCAAAACCAGTAGCTACAAAATTTGCCAGAATTAGTGTCACTACGCAGTAGTGGAAAATGGATCATGAATGTTTAAAGATTTCCAGCAGCTGCTGTTTTCAGACACCTTAAAAATCTCCCCATCTACCAGACCGTAACGTTTAAGCATGAATTCAAAGAAGTTTCAAAAGACACGCAGCAACATGGAGGTATTTACCCATGCTTGCATGCAACAGCAAAATAACACAAAGCACAAAACCTGCAACTGCATGAACTCAAGATAAGTTACCTTGCGTTTCTTTTCTCTACATCAGAGCAACCAATGCTGTTTCTATAAATTGTATCAGCCAGATGAACAAGGTATCTACAGAAGTTTTCTAGCTGAGAAATAGTCTTGTCTCCTTTTAGATTAGCGAACCACTGTTTAGGAAAGCAAGCAATTACCTAGACATAACAGGAAAAAGGAAGTTAAACACAACGTAACAAAATTTTAAAAGCTATCTAACATGATTTGTTAGGTAGATCGACAGGTAAGATTGCAGCAGGAAAGGCTCAACCAAGTGAAACCAAAACCTACCAAAATAAAAATAATTTGAAATTCAAGCAGTAAAACACTGAAACGTACGCTATACCTAAACCATCTAAAGGTATGAGCCACTCTATTTTTCACTTACATTACAACTTTGAGATACCAAAGCCAAGATTTCATAGGCAACCTCAAGTTTTAACTACATTTTTCCTTCAGGTGAAATTTGTGATTTAAAAATGTTTTCATTTTACTTACACTTTGAGCTTTCTTAATGCTGTCCTCTCCATACTCAGAGTTTTGAAAAGCCATAAGAATGTATCTATTTAGCAAACCATCTATTGACAGTTCCTGGAGAGTTTTGTTTGAAAGGATTCCATACCACTGGAGAAAGTTTCCTAATAACTGAAAATACAACACAGGAAAAATAAGCATTAAAAAAATGTACTGAAACTGGGAAGTTGATCAAATGCTTTAGAGCCTCTCCAAACGCAACAGCACAGCCAAGGTAAGCAGTGGAAATATGCTTTCTGTTAGCTTTAAAACTATTCAGCATCCATAAAGTACCAGCCTAGAGTGCTATTACACAGTAACTGCCACCATCACCTCAGAGTTGTTCATGTTTTGCACAACAAGTCAGAAAAGAATTCAAGTTTTATGCCATCTTGTTCTCAAAATTTGACGTCAATATCAAGCCAAGTGAGGCCTAGCATATGCCATATGGGGGCAAATCCACAGCCCCCCAGTCAATGAAATCCTCAGCTGTCAGCATACCCTTATTTCCAAGGCACGGTGACACAAGAGACACAGAAAGTGTCACAGGGGAGTGCTGGCTAAGCCAGCTGTACAGCTGTTACTCCCTGCTGGTGTACGGCCTGTGGAGATTGCTGCCAGCGCCGTACAAATGAACACAGCCG